AGATAACATAATGCCACTGCAAGGCCAAAAATAGAAGGTTTTAGGACAAGACACTCCAAATAATAGTGAAAGCTAGAGAGAGAAAAATTGCCTGGTAAAGGCCTGATATAAATATCCAGCCTTTGCCAGCTGTAAACTGTTCCAGCTACTCGCGCCTCCTGCTGTAGTGTGAAGTAGTTAGAGACTCTAGTAAATGGATGGGTATGGCTGCACTCCAGTAAAGCTACTTAAAACCCCTTCATCCAGCCCACAAGGCCTGGTTCAATGTCTCTGGCTCTAGCAGCCCCTTACTTTCCTTTGGCCATACCTCTGCCTCTGTCCTCCTCTGTCTGCTAAGCTCCTGACCTGGGCTGACACTTTTTTCCTGTTTTTTCAACCATGTGAAGCCCTTTCCTGAAGGGAGCAGGCAACACATGAGACTCTTAATCTCAGGGTTGTGGGTTCAAGCCCCACATTGGGTGTCAGATGTAATATGAATTGTAAAAGGTCTTAGTAATAAAAACAAACCTGGAGCCAGGTATTGGGGTGAATGCTGAAAGATCAGAGAAGCAGAACAAACCACAGCTAACCTCACCTCGATAATTCCTCAGCTGATCTTGTTTCCTCGGACTGAAAGCCTCTGAATCCTTATATGAATGGATCTCAGCTGAACTGCTGCTAAAAGCTTAAAAAAGGCTCTAGTTCCTGGTCTTCACACCTTATATACCTTTCTGCTTCCTGCCATCACTTCCTGGGATTAAAGGCATATGTCACCATGCCTGGCTGTTTTCAGTGTGGCTTTGAACTCAGAGATCCAGATGGATCTCTGCCTCCTGAATGCTAGGATTAAAGGCGTGTGCTACCACTGCCTAAACCTATGTTTAATATAGTGGCTGTTCTGTTCTCTGACCCCCAGATAAGTTTATTGGGGTGCACAATATATCAACCACAGGCCTGAGCACTGCCATTTTGACTTCAGACTCCATTTTACCTGTAGGGTAAAATAAAGCTCAGGTTCCCAGCCCTATGGGGGCTGAGAACTCTCCAATGGCTGACCAACCTCCTCCCTAAACTATAGAAATAGTCATTATGTATCTTTAGTTCTTTAGAAACATCATGACTGTTCCTAAGAACCAAAGGACAAATGAATCTGATTGGTTGGACTGAAAGGCTTGTATTATATGTTGGTTGACAATGATGGAACACTCAAGGAAGCCCCTGATCTCTAAATCCTGATTGGTGAAAATTGTACTGTAACTTGGCAACAAATGTTTGTGAATTTTATGCTTATAAACCCCGCCTCTGCCCCTGCTCAGGGCTGTCAGGAGAAACAAGGCTCCTGAGTCCTTGTCCTGCAGCCCTGCTCCATCAGTGACCCACTTATGTTGTGATTTATTCAATTATTTGGAAACCGTAAGCGTTGTCTCTCCCTTTCCCTGTGGTGCATAATGGGCTAGGAGTAACATTCCCGTCATGCAATCTTTCTATTACGAGTCCTCTGCCACAACATTCTTGTACCAAATCCTCACCTGGCTCACATCCTACTTACATGAAGATATCTGCTTGGGTGCCATCTCCCAAAGGAACCCCCAGATCGCCTGATCTAAGACACATACACCCATGTCCTATATCATTCGCCTTTGATTCATTATTTCTGAAGTGCATTTGCACCCATCTGGCACACTGCATTTGGAATGTGTTATGTTGAAGACCACCTTCCCTGCTTAGTATGTGTACTCTCTGAGCAAGAGCTCTGTCTGCGTACTCACAGCTGGATCTCCTGAGCCTAGACCATTGCCTGAGAGACATCACGGAGGCTCAGGGAATATCTGTTGAGTCAGCCAATGAATGGATGAATAAATGACTCTAACATGATTCCAACCATGAGCAATTCTCATCTCTTTTAATCTAGAGCAAAAAAAAAAAAAAATTTATTTCATGGTCAATCTGACTTTCCATCTGTGATAGTCTGGAAATAGATAAAGAAAGAGAAAGATAGCATGATAAGTAGCTGAGCAATATAGATGCTAAGCCCCACTCCTAATCACGGAGCTATTTGCAATTGATACCTGCTGGGAAGGGGAAACCAGTCTTCTCCAATGGAGAGTCACTGGGTATATCAACCACACTCCAGGGCAGACTGGATGCCCAGGAATAGTTGGCTAAAACAAAACAAACTCCATGGGTATTTTTTGGGGGAAGGGGCAGAATTTTTGTTTCATTTTGTTCTGTTTGGGCATTTTTGTGTCTTATTGAATTTTGTTTGTTTTGATTTTCTTTTCTTCTTCTTTTTTTTTTTTTTTTTTTTTGGTGTTTTTGTTTGGGAGGAGGGTGCTGGGTAGGGAGAAGGAGCATCTGGAAGGAGCCAGGGAAAACAAAATCAAAATATATTGTATGAAAAAGAGTTTTAAATTTTAGAAATTATTTTAAAGTGAAAAGAAAGAGAAGGGAAGGGAGAGAAAAAGGAAAGAGAGGATTCCTTTTGTACCTTAGTTAACAAATGGCACAACCCCCCCGCCCAGACTCACTGAGGTCCTGGGTTACAATGGCAAAGCAAGCTATTGCCATTTTTTTTAAAAGACGGTTCCAGGTTTTCACAGACTCTCATACATTCAAAAGCAAAAAGTCCATACCACCTTCCTATCCAGCCTTCTCTCCCCAGAAGGGAGTAACCTTAGAGAGGAAAGAGTCTTGAAGGTTGCAGGGCAGGGGGAAGCACTGACCAGCACCACTACCCCCATCCCCACCCACACCCGCCCACACCCACCCGCCCTGCCCTGTCACCCAGGACACTTCCCTGTGCACCCTAACTTAATGCAATTCAGACGTTTGTCATTCTCAATCTCAAAGGCAACACTAAGAAAACAGCCAGTTATTGTGGGGGCAGTTTTATGTCTGGTGGGTTCTTGCTCCTCTCTTGTTTATAAGTGAGCAATGGATACTGACCAATCAATACAATCCCTCTGTCTTTGAGGGGGAAAGCCCACGTCACATCTGAAATCACTTTTATCTTTGAAGCAAAAGTATTGGATTTGGAGTTGAATTAGTTAACCCTTGGTATCGCGCCTCAGAACTGTCTCCCCATGACAAAGGGTTGATGTTAACCAGGGGGAGAGAGAGCCTTTCATCTGCTTTCAGGCCGTTTTTCTCTGATTTACAGTATTTGAAGAAGAAAGCATGTATTCATCCTGCGCGTCCCTCCCAACCCCGCAGAGGCTGGAGAAGGAAACCAAAGTTACTGAAAACAACAGTTTGCTCTCTTGTGGGATTGGCTTCACAGACCTCATTAACCCTCATCACAGCTCTTACAGGGGTGTATTTTCGCCTTACAGTTTTAAAAGCAGCTTGAAAGAAGTAAGTTCTGTCTTATTTTTCCAAAGTTAGGGAAGTAACACAAACATAGAATTCAGAATCAGACAGATTTGGATTTAAATTTCAGCTCCAGGGCCTCTGTTTCATGACCATAGGCAAATCACTCTTCTCAGAGTCTCCAGGGCTAGAGTTGTCCCGGTAGAAGGATTGTGAAAATGAAAGTGCCCTGCACCTGAGCTCTCCATGTAGACACCATGAGTCACATGTGCTGTGGAGCTCTTGACACGGGGCGTTTGCATCCATGATCTGACTCTTGTGTTTATCTGATTTCCGCATACAGAGGTATATATGTGTAACAAATGGGTGGCATTTTTCATCCCTGTACTTCCTCATAGAACATCCTTAGACCCACATGAGAGACCTTTATGCGGGGCCACACGCTTTAGACGGCCTACTCAGCTGTCCTCTGGTCATAGCCCTCCCCATGGTCAGGAGTCAGCATGATAACCTGGTTCACACTTCTTTTCTATGTCCGCCTGTACCATGGTCTGGGTACTATGACCTGGGATTCCTGACTGAACAGCCCAAATCCATGTCCAGGACCTCCTGAATCTCTTGCCTGGTTCTGCACAAGGTGGTGTGCACCTGAGCCATGCACTTGACACAAGCGACGTCTAAGGAGGGGCTGAAGTGGAAACAGACTAGTCTTGTGGGCTTCTGTATCCACACAGATGTGCACAGGGCCCTAGAGGGACAAATGGAATCAGATCTGGAAACTGTGGAGTGCACACTAGGTCTGAGCTTTCCCTAACATGCCAGTTACCACGGTTAGGGAATGTGGTGGTTTGAAGAGCAAATGACCTCTAAGTCTCGGCACTTGAACGCTTGGTCCCCCAGTGGTGGTGCTGCCTGGACAGGTGGTCCAGCCTTCCTGGAGGAAGTATGGCACTGCTTTGCTTTTGCAGTTCAAGCTGTGAGCTCTCACTTCCTGCGCCTGCCACCGGACCTGCTGCTTCCTGCTCAGCTCCTCCACCACAGACTCCCATCTCTCCGGAACCATGAACCAAAATGAACTCTCTCTTCCTTAAGTGTCCCTGGTCATGGTGTTTTGTCACAGAAACAGAAAAGTAACTAATACGGGGACTCCCCCAGCACCTTCCTGTTATCTCCCCTTTGGACTACATTCTAGAGTTTACAGTTCTTGCAAATTTCCAGCCAAAGAACACTAATACACCATCCTTATCAAGTTCCCAGTTATTGTGGTTGCTACTACGTGAAGAAGAAAATAGAGCTGTGAAAGTTGCTACTTGTCTGTCATCCAAAGGCCATGATTGTATCTTTACAGATCTGTCTATCCAAGAAAAATATCTCTAGATTTACAATCGCATCTGTTCTTGCCACCAGTATCTCTGAGCAGCTATTTTTCTAACCTTTTAATAACGTATTTATGTGTCTGTGTGCATGCGTGTGGACATGCACCTGCCCCAGTGTGTGAATGTTGAGGGGCAACTTGCTGGAGTCGAGTCTCTTCTTCCACATGTGAGATCTGGGAATGAAACACAGATCATCAAGCTTAGGGGCAGGAGCCTTCACCCATGGAGCCATCTTTACAGCCCAGTAAGCAACTGTTTTTAAGAATGCACACACTAAGAGTGAAGCTCGAAACAAAATGTCTAATTAACACATTGAGAACTCACTGAGAACTGTACCTGCTTCCACTGGACCAGATATCAAGGCATCAGTTTCTGTTGGTTGTAGCTGGAGTTTTCCTGTGTCCCACCAGGTCCTGCAGCTGCTGGAGCCCAATTAAACACACAGAGGCTTATATTACTCACAAACTGTATGGTCTATGGCAGGCCTCTTGTTAGCTAGCTCTTATATCTTAAATTAACCCACTTCTATAAATCTATACTTTGCCACGTGACTTGTGGCTTACCGATACCTTTACGTCATGCTTCTCCTGGCGGCGGCTAACCCGTCTGCCTTGCCTCTCCTTTCTCTTCCTATCTGCTTGTATTTCCTGCCTGCCTCTAACCTGCCTTGCTGTAGACCAAATGGCTTTATTTATCAACCAATCAGAGCAACACATATTCACAGCATACAGAAAGACATACACAGCAGTTGGTGTTTGTGTTTTATGTGTGGCTCAAGACAATTCTTGATCAGGTATAGCCCAGAGAAGCCAAAAGGTTGGACATCCTGATTGCAAGTATCATATCGGAGGATGATTATAATTTATATGCAAATATAGTACTATTGTATATGAGGAACCTCAGCTGTGGACTTGGGTATCCATGAGGGGATACCATACAGTCCCCAGTGGACAACTATTAAAAAGGTAACTTTGGGCTTCATATTTTAAACTGTGAATATATTTCCCATCAGAATGTTGTACATGAATTTATTTTGCTAATTCATTTTTACTTATTTATAAAATTCCAATCATTAAATTGATACTTACTTCTAATTAATAATTCATCAAATCAATGAAATGGCAGGGTGTGGTATTACATGAAATAAATACAAAAATGACAGTAGTAAACTTTCATTTATAAAAAAATGAGACATCTAGCTTCATTGTTTATCTTGGCTTAGAAATCTTTTCACAAAATTATATGGCATTTGATGTTCCAAAGTGGAGAATCATGGGACAAACTCCCTCTCAGCTGAGAGCTACAATTCTGGGTTAGCAGCTTCCCTCCACCAGATTGTAAGAGCTCTGGTAGTCTCTGTCTTGGCTTCATTCCTGTGATAAAAGACCCTGACAAAGATAACTTTGGGGAAAGGGGACTTACTTTAGCTCAATGCTCCAGGTTACTGCCCATCAGTGCTGACAAGGCACAGCAGCAGGGCCTCTGGCCATCTGGACACACTATGCACATAACGAAACAGCAAAAAAGAAATAAATGAATGCATACTGGAGCTCAGCTCAGCTTCTCCAGTCTTACAGTCCAAGATGCCCTGCCCAGGGAATAGTGCTATTCTCAGTGGGCAGTCTCCCCCACTAATCAAGACAATCCCCTACAGATTTGCCCTGGGACAACCTTATCTAGATAGTCCCTCATTGAGGCTCCCTTCCCAGGTGATTCCAGGTTTGGTCAAGTTGACAAAACCAGCCTTTGGTCCTACTGTTTTCCCCCTTTACCCAGGTTATCAGGAAGCTCAGAACAAGTTTGGCACAAATTTAAAAATACCGTGTGCAAGGTACTGAACTTTTGTGTGCACCCCCTTCTCCCCAGCTCCTTCCATTCTTGTGCTGAAATCCTAACCTCTACCTGGTAGTACACTAGTGTGATGGTAGGAAGTCACTTTGGTCTTGAGGCTGGAGTCCTCATGAATGAGATTCATGTCCTTATACAAGGGCCCCAGACTCTCTTGTCCTCTTGTTGTCATGTGAGGATACAAGGAGGAGTCAGGAGAACTCATCACCAGAACCATCTGGTGTCTTGATCTTAGACCTCCATCTCCTGTCAACGAGAAACTTCTGTTGTTATGAACCACTCCGTCCGTGGTGCTTTGCTCTAGCATTCCAAACCAACAAAGACACAGTCTAAGGTCTCTTCCACGCTTGCTCTCTATTTCCTATGACTAGGTCCTTTTTCCAAGAATATCTCCTGTTCCCTCATATTAGGTCCTTTTTTAGTTTCCTAAGTATCTAGTCACCAAAGGAAGTGGATGAGATGATTATATGACTTATATATAGAGACACGTATAATGATCAACACCACCCATCCTGCATGTCCATCACTGCCACACTGTACCTCACATCCCCAGAACTGGCTCATCTTGAAAGTCTGTACCTTCTAACAGACATCCCCCCCCCCTGTTTCCCTTATGATCCAGCAGGAAAACACCTCTGCTTCTATGAATTTTGTTTGTTTGTTTGTTTTTGTTTTGGGAGTCCATATGTAAGAGAGAAGGTGACTCTCTGTATCTGGATGAGTTCACATTGGCTGTTAGCCAGGTTCATCTTCATCATCACAAATGGCAGGAGTCCATCCTGTGGCTTAATTATATTCTGTCATAGAGAGCACAATTTCTTCACTTGTTAAGGAATGCTTGAGTTGCTCTCATAGTCTATTGTGAATAGTGCTGCAACGAACCTTTGATTTACTCATGATAATCAGAGGAAAATAACAGCACCCATGCATGGAGACCCTGAAACAGAACCACCTTTAGCTAAGTCAGGCGCATTCTCCCCTGCATTTCCTTGTCATCTAATTACAGCCTCCAGATCTATTTACATCACAATTTTACTGTCCTAGACCTTGCCTCACTACCTCCTCTAGTTGGCATAGAAGGTTTATGTGGTTTGCTTTTCATCTTATCTCTTGGTGATAGAGAACCGTGACAATGCTCGTTGGTCCAGGACATCAAAAGAAGTCAGACTCTTGCAAAAATTCCCCATTCTTTACAACTGGAAGCCTGTTTCAGTTAGCCTTAACTGTGAGTTTCCTGCCTTTCCTATGACTCACGTTTGTTCCCAGTTCCTTAATATATGATGTGGCCCCTTCTGGTGACACAATAAAACTCAGTAATTTGGGAGAGATTTCATAATGGGAAGACTGTGATACATGTACATAAATAATAAAAAATAATTATTTGAGCTAAACTTTGGATACACTTATTTCAGTACATAATATCAGAAAAGCTAATGAAAAGAACCCAGTAGGTTTTTTAATTCATTTTTAATAAATTTATTTTTAATAAATTCTACTGAGTGTCAAATCTAGATAACTTTACCTCCGACTTGTAGTTTCAATAAACTCAAAGCCAAGGCTATCAATTTGTAACTAGAATCTATAATGGGCTAGGGTAGACCTTACCTCAGTAAACACAAGAAAAATTAAGGGGCCTGGAGAGACAGTTTAGTGGTTAAGAGCACTGGCTGCTCTTTCAGAAGACCCAGGTTGAATTCCCCGCACCCACCTGACCGCACACAACCACCTGTAACTCCAGTTTCATGGGACCTGACACCTTCTTCTGGCCTCCACAGGCACCAAGCACTCCTGTGGGTCACAGACATACTTACAGGCAAAACACCCAGACACATATTTTATTTTTAATTTAGAGAAAAACATCACTTCACTTGCTTATGGTGAGCCCTTCCTTGAGCCCTCCATGTGCTGGCAACAGTTCCCACTCTGTGCTTCAGAAGTACTAAGTTCACACCAGCCAAGGTATCCCTCTGAAGCTGGGAGCCGTGCTGGCACTCTCCTATGACTACAGCCTGGCACTCTCCTCTCCTGTGACTGCAGAAGCCTGGCAGCTGCCCCCTTCCCTCTCAGACTCTCCAAGCTGGAGGATCACAAGGCTGGCTGGAGTCGGCCAGGCTTTCTTGCCCTGAGATTTGACACTGATGCCATTTCCTGCATCTGAGTACCACTGGGTGCCTTCCTTTCTCCCTGCCCCACAGACTTGGATCCATCCTCTTCCTTAGTCATAATAAACAAATTCCCAAAATGTATAACCTCGGAGGAGAAGGGAAATCATATCTCTGTAATTCCCTTCACTTCGCTCTCACTCTTCATCTTTTCACAGAAATCATAAGAAGTGAGAGGGAAAAAAGATGGTGTCTCCACCTGCATAACATGACCCAAAATCTAAGCACTCTACATCCTTGCAAAGAGCTATTCATTGGAACCAAACTGAAAACCTGCCTCTGCCACATCCAAGCTGGGTAGCCTTGGCAAGCTCTCAGAGCTCTGTTTTCTTGCACAATAAATTTATGTAATAATATTTATCTCCCAGAACTGCAGTGAAGACTCTGGTAATATGTATAAATCATCCGGCATACAGCAGGCATTAACAGGCACTCTCGCTCCTAGCTCCCACCCATACTCAGCTATAGAGTGGGTTGTGTCAAACATGAGAACGTTCTTCCCACACCCAGGAGAGCATGCTGTGAGCTACAGAGGGAACTGACTTGACACAAAGCCATTACCGGAGCTCACAAACATTACTGGAAATTCCCCTGGTGCTCATAAGCTGTTGCAAATCTTTCACCCTTGAGTTTGTCAAAGCACATCTTCAAGCAGTTTACATTTTCAACTCATATACCCCCCTGAGAGAACAAGTCCCACCTGCTAGTCACAGTCCATAATCACCTCTTCACTTACAGTAATGTTCAGGGAGGCAAGGAAGGGGAGGAGGTCCAAGCCTGTGCCCAGATGTGGGTTGAATGTGCTACTTTCTGCCTGTGAGATCTTGAGTAAGCAGCTGGCCTGAATGTTCTTCAACTTCCTGCAAAGTGGAGATGATGGTGCCCAAGCCAATGGCTCTTCAGCATCAGAACTGCTGGGCCACGCTTGCTCTTAAGAGATTGCTTTCATGTATATAGCCATATCCCTTGATTGATCATACTGGCCCTGATATTCTGGCATTCTTACTCTCTATCTGAAGCCTCCTCCCCTCCCTCCATAAACCTGCTTGATGATCCCCATTGCTGAACACACTACCTTCACTTTCCTGAATCCTAACTCAAAAGGCCTCTCTTCCCCTTCCCCCTCCTCCTGGCAGCTGCTGAGATTTACAGGCTGCCTACCCTATTGGTTTCTCTCAAACTCTGACATAATTGTCCTTGAGCTTTCTCTTGGGTCCGTTTCTAAATTCTTTTTATTAATGAAATGAAGAACAGAAAAGAAAGCCCAACTTGAGTCTGTAGACATTCCTGCCAGGGCTCCCTGATGCCTGTCACCCTCCTGGACACTGGTGCCTGAGACTAGGTCTCAGATATTAGTCAAACCTCCAGTTGGCCCTTCAGGAGTCTGGTTTTTGAATGCTGGCCCCACCTCAGGGCAGTCTTTTGAGAAATTGTGTCAGGGGAATGGGCATGGACTTAGCGAGTTAGGTTGCAAATATCGACTCTGTCCCTAGATGGTCCTTCCTGATGTCAGGCATATTTCTTGGAACCTAAGTCAATGTCAAGCTGTCACGCTAGGTGACAAATCTCTCTCTCTCTCTCTCTCTCTCTCTCTCTCTCTCTCTCTCTCTCTCTCTCTCTCTCTCTCTCACACACACACACACACACACACACACACACACACACACACACACACACCCTGCATCTCTCCTCGTCCATTTGCCAGGCCACATCCAGTCCATGGGCAGTGCTCATACTTTCTCTGACAATTAAACACCACAAATGCAGGTTTTTTGCAATTCAGCCCTTCAAATGACTGCTGAAAGTTGTTTTCTAATTCGTTCAAAACTTTCAGACAAATTTCCCCCAAATCTGCTTTAAGCTCAGCTTCTTAATAACCATGATATAAGCTAAAGATTATAAAGTTGTCCAACACTCTTAGTGCATCTAGTTTGAAATTTCTGTGTGGGAGTCAATATCTCGAACAAAGCTAGATTATCTTTATGCTTCAACTGAAATTGAGATGAGTCTCATTTAAATGACCTAATATAGACCCATAGAAAAATTAGGCAAACAGAAAATTGAGTACTTATTCAACCACCTATGTGGTAAATATTGCTGTTAACTGTTTAGGATTAGAAGATTCTTTTAGTATAATTTTGACAAGTTTGTTAAACTAATCTGCATTTCTAAACTTCTGTTCATCAGGAGCATACCTAAAATTACCACTTAATATTAGACTGGTGAATTCATAAAGGGTCAGCATGTTTATAAGGATATTTTTATTTCCTACCTTTAAAACAAATGCATGTTTGACAGGTGGTGGTGGTGGCACACTCCTTTATTCCTGTATTTGAGAGGCAGCCTGGTCTACAGAGTGAGTTTCAGGACAGCCAAGGCTACACAGAGAAACCCTGTCTTGAAAAAACAAACAAAAACCAAATGCATGTTCATTGTATGAAAGGAAAGGGCAGAAAAGTCTGTCATAGGTTCATAAGGAGAAAATAGAATGTCATGATGCATTTTCTGAATTTTCTAAATTATATTCAACCTAAATCTAAGTTTTGGTGGCCAAGAAGAGTATGGAGTTCAGAAGAAATTGTATTAGATTCTCCCCCTCTACTACAATAGGTGACAGTTTTGAGTACTGAATACCCAAGAATCCCATGACGGAGCCTGGTTTTTAATGAACAGTAGTTCTCTGGTTCTCTTCCTCCCTATGCTGTACCAATGCTCCTGAGCAGCACAGGTCTTCATTTGTCACTATTGGATACCACCGTTCTGGGTGAATCATAGACACGCCCTCCGACGACACACATGATCACGGTTGTTGTCGTCATCATTACCATCATCATCAAGTGGTCTTCCAATGGCAGTCTTCACAGAGGTTGCCAAACTGAAGATGTTCGCCATCCCGTCCTGTCAATCACTTGTTCTGTTATTGTCAATTACAGTCTCAAAGTCTTAGAAAAACTCCTAAGGAGCTTGCCGGGGTCAGTTTTCTGCAATTATCACTGAATACCACAGACTAGATAAAAGTCCAAGAGCATGGTACCAGGATCTGGTTCTTTGTGGTGCCGCAAGGCACAGTGTGAAGAGTATAACATGGTGAGACCAAGCAGCTAGCCAGGAAGAAGCTGCTGTTTTAGCAAAGGTACTCCTGTAGTAACTCACTAATCATAGTGAATAAATCCATCCTCATGGCCCAATCACATTCCAGCAATATGCCTGGCCCCACTTAGAACTTAAATGAGAATGCAATTTCTGCTTGAATTTTGATGAATACATTCAAACCACAGTGTGTGGGGGTGAGCACAAGTGTGTACAAGCTACAGCATGGGTGTGGTAGTCCAAGGACATCTTATAGGAGTCCTTCCACCATGGGTTCCAGGTACTACATTCAGGTCATCAGATTTGCGCAGAAACATTTTTATCTACTGAACTATCTCACTAGTCCACAATCCCATCCTTTGGAGATTAATTAATCAAAATATTTATTATACATGTATCTAAAATTGTTGGTAAAACAAATTCTTTCACCAAAAATGCAATACCCCCCCCAATACCTTTATGTAAATAGGTACAAGATGTGGCAGGCAAATCACAAAACAAAAACCAGTTCTGTTCTTGAAGTTCAAAATGAAAATTCAGATTTTCACCTATTGAGTTAGTGGTAGAGAATTTCACTTCTGGGAAGGTGAAGTCAATTTTCTTGCCCTTGTTTCTCTTGCTAAGTGCTTCTGAGTCTCCTAAATTGTAGACATGACACACAGGAGGCAGTGAAGAGCGAGGTAGGTGGACTAGAGGAAGCCTTGGAGCCCGGGGAAGATCACTGCAGCAAGCTCTCTGGACTATCCTTTTGCTTCACACATCTCAAGATACATTCAAGCTGAATGTCCCTAATCCAGAAATTCAAAGTCCCAAATCTGACCGTCCTTGAGGGGTGATGTACTGTCCATCAGCAGATGAAGGGAAAACAAGAACAGAGCACAACTACACAGTGGGACTCTGTGCATCTGTAAAGAAAAGCAAATTCGTGGTATTTTCAGGAGAACGGGTTAAACCAGAAAACAAAACAAAGAGTGAGGCAACCCAGGCACAGGAAGACAAGAACTGCACACCTCAGATGTGCAGCCTAGTTTGGAATCTCTAATTGTGTTCAGCATGGGGAGGTGGGCTGAGAAAAGGACATGAAAAGTCATATGGAAGCCTACTATCTTGCAACTAAGCTAAAAATTATAATTCATTTTAAAAAAAAAGAGTTGAAAAGGGCCAGGCGGTGGTGGCACACGCCTTTAATCCCAGCACTCAGGAGGCAGAAGCAGGCAGATCTCTGTGAGTTCAAGGCCAGCCTGGTCTACAGAGCAAGATCCAGGACAGGCACCAAAACTATACAGAGAAACCCTGTCTTCAAAAAACCAAAAAAAAAAAAAAAAGGGGGGGGTGTTGAAAAGAAAATACTCTACACAGCCAGCAAAAGCTCCTTTTAGAATCCATGGGTTATTAAGGCAAACCCCAGTGCCAGGCACACAATACCGTCTTATGAGTTGTTACTCTAGGAGGTTTCGGAGTCCCCAAAACAATACAAACTTTTGTCATTATTCTTGGTTGCCCACCAAAGCTAGATCATAAGACCTTACTGCTGAAGACACCACACACTGTGGTTGCATAATAGAAAAATCAAGCTGGAACCAAGTTGGGAACCTTCTTCCCGACTAGCTAACTTTCACAGCGCTCAAAGGCGCTCTATGCAGGCTTCTGGGTGGGGAAAGCCATCAGTGGTCTTACCCAGCTGAGAACTCTATGAACTATGATATCAACCTTCCAGGCAAGAGTGTCCACTTGAGCAATGGTGGCACAGCCCGTGGGGGTAACCTACAGCCCTCTGGCTGGACTTGGGGCTCACTCCATAGGAGGGAATCCATGCCCTATAAAACTATTCAAAATTTCCTGATGGGGAGGACAAAGGTCCTGGGTAGAGGCCTAAGTCCGTTATTTAGCTAAATGTGCATAGTATAGATTGCCTTTTAACTTTTAATATGTATTTACATTCATTAATAATCACTGTTCCCAGTCTTAATTAGAGAAGCCTCTCTTTCCAGTGAATGTTGGCAAATGCAGAGACTCCGTGGCTACACTGGGTGCTGAAAATAAGTGGCAGGTGATGATGGCTCAGCTCCTAACAAAGCATTTATATTGTATCTCCTAAGGCTCAGGGACCATTGCAGAAGATGAGACAGGAAAACTATAAGTCAGAAGATAAGGAAGAGGGCTGTGAAATGCCTGGTGCAGAACACTGGGCCTTCCCCACATTCTGCCTCTCTTTCACAGGACACTCCTAGTTTTGGAAAGGGAATTGGCACAGGGAGGGGAGGGGACCTGACAATAAAGAGATGGATTTTTTCAAGACTGAAAATTCCCTAACTTGACAAGAATTAAAAGTAAATAAATAATGTAAACCTCCACGCCTCCCATGTGTGGATGAAATGTAACCATCCTGCTTCCTGTTAACTCCAACTGTGCTTCCCCTGCCTGTTGCCATGACACCTTGCCATGGTGGACTCTGTCCCTCTGGAGCTGTAATCACAAACGAACCCTTTCTTTCATCATTTTCTTTCTGTCAGGATGTTTTCTCACAGCAAATGAACAGTAGCTAACACAGAAATCAGTATCAAGATTTCTTGTTACAGCAGTAAGGTCTTATAATCTAGTTTTGGTGGGCAACCAAGAATAACAGAAGTAATAACACAAACAGGGTTGACGGTGACAAACCTGACCATGTGGCTTTTAAGCCTTTTGATCATTTTGTGAAAAATTTGAAACTTTGGACTAGAAAAGTCATTGAGTGCTGTGGACAGAGCTTAATGGGCCATTCTTGTGATGCTTAGCAATCAGTAACGCTGACAGAACTGTGGGCAGTGAGTGAGGGCCAGCTTATGAAGTTTCAGAGGGTAGCAGGGATTCTGTCAGGGTCTGGGTGTCTGAGTTACTGTTCTATTGCTGTGATGAAACACCATGACTGAGGAAACTGATAAAAGGAAGCATTTATTTATTTATTTTTTCAAAAGGTAATTTTAAGTTTTTATTTTATGAATTACTAAGTATTTTACAACTCGTAAATGAACCTGAATTTCAATATTGAAAGTTGAAAATATATTCACTCAATTTTAAAGTTTTTTATTGCCTTCTTTTTTATATTAGTTAAATTTATTCATTTATTTTACACCCCAACGACTGTTTTCCCTCCCTTCTTTCCTCCCATTCCCTCCCCTCACCTCCCTTCTTCCCCTCCATCCACTCCTCCTCTATTTCTGTTCAGAAAGGGGCGGGCTTTCCATGGGTGTCAACAAAGCATGGCATATTAAGTTGAAGTAGGACTAAGCTTCTCCGCTTGTATTAAGGCTGGGCAAGGCAACCCAGTATGAGGAAAAAGCCCAAAGGTCAGTCAAAGCATTAGGGACAGCCATGCTCCCATTGCTAGGAGTCCCACAAGTAGACCAAGCTACACAACTGTCACACATAAGTAGAGAGCCTAGGTTGGTTCCATGAACATTCCCTAGCTGTCAGTCCAGACTCTATGAGCTCCAATAAGCCCAGGTTAGCTGTATCTATGGTTTCCTTCCTCTCCTCAGCAAAATTCCCCAAGCTAGGCCCAGTGCTTGACTATGGGTCTCTCCATCTGTTTCCATCAGTTATTGGAGGAAAGCTCTCTAATGACAATTGGGGTAGTCACCAATCAAGCCTCCCTGGGTCTATGAGTTGTAGTATGGCTATCCTTTCCTTTACATATAATGTCCACTTCTAAGTGAGTACATCCATTTTCGTCTTTCTGGGTCTGGGTTACCTCACTCAGGGTGATTTTTCTTAGTTCCATCCATTTGCATTCAATTTTCATGATGTCATTATTTTTAACAGCTGAGTAATTCTCCATTGTGTAATGTACCACATTTTCTTTAACCATTCTTCAGTTGAGAGGCATCCAGGTTGTTTCCAGGTTCTGGCTATTACAAAGAAAGCTGCTATGAATATAGTTGGGCAAGTGTCCTTGTGGTATGATTGAGCATCCCTTGGTTATATGTCCAAAAGTGGTATGGCTGGGTCTTAAGGTAGATCCATTCCCAATTTTCTGAGAAACCACTGTAGCAGGAATCTTAAAAGTTCTTATTAATAAAATCAAACCTGAGCCAGGTATTGGGGTGAATTGGAAGATCAGAAAACCAGAACAAGCCACAGCTACCTCGCCTTGCCAGATCCTCAGCTGGTCTTCTTTCCTCAGACTGGAGGCCTCTGAGTCCTCATCCAGAATGGGTCTCAGCTGAATTGCTGCTCGAAAGCCTGAAGCTTAACCAGCTAAAAGCTTAACCAGTCAAAATGCTTCTAGTTTCTGGTCCTCACGCCTTATATACCTTTCTGCTTTCTACCACCACTCCCTGGGATTAAAGGCTTGCTTTCTGGGATTAAAGGCGTGATGAGTCACCATGCCCATCTGTATCCTTGAACACATGGATTTCTGCCTCTGGAATGCTAGGATTAAAGGCGTGTGCTACCACTGCCTATCCTTTATGTTTAATATTGTGACTGCTCTGTTTCTGACCCCAGATAAGTTTATTAGCATGCAAAATATTTGGGGGAATACAATACCACAAACCACCATAATGATTTCCAAAGTGGCTGTATGAGTTTGCACTCTCACCAACAATGGAGGAGTACTTCCCTTGCTCCAAATCCTCTCCAGTCTAAGCTGTCATTTGTGTTTTTGATCTTAGCCATTCTGAGAGGTGTCAGATGGAAATCTCAGAGTCCCTTTAATTCGCATTTCATTGATGCCTAAAGATGTTGAACAATTCTTTAAGTGTATCTCGGCCATTTGAGAGTCTTCTGTTGAGAATTCTCTGTTCAGATCTATACCCAATTTTTAAACTGGAATATTTGGTTTTTTGATATCTAGATTCTTTAGATCTTTATATATTTTGGAGATCAGCCCACTACTGGATGTGGGATTTGTGAAGATCTTTTCCCATTATATAGGCTGTCGTTTTGTCCTGCTGACAGTGTCCTTTGCCTTACAGAAGCTTTTCAGTTTCATGAGGTCCCATTTACTAATTGTCACTCTTAGTGTCTGTGCTACTGGTGTTCTGTTCAGGAAGTTGTCTCTTGTGCCAACATGTTCAAGGCTATTTCCCACTTTCTCTTCTATCAGGTTTGGTGTAACTGGATTTATGTTGAGGTCTTTGATCCACTTGGACTTGAGTTTTGTGTAGGGTGGTAGATATGGATCCATTTGCATTCTTCTATGTGCTGATGTCCAGTTATGCCAGCACCATTTGTTGAAGATGCTTTCTTTTTTCCATTGTATAATTTTGGCTTCTTTGTCAAAAAATCAGGTGTCCATAGGTGTGTGGATTTATGTCTGGGTCTTCAACTCAATTCCCTTGATCCATATGTTTTTATGGCAGTACCATGATGTTTTTATTACTATAGCTCTGTAGTAGCACTTGAAAACAGGGATGGTGATACCTCCAGTTCTTTTATTGTACAGGATTGTTTTAGCTATCCTAGAATTTTTTTTCCATATGAAGTTGAGTATTGTTCTTTCAAGGTCTAGAAAGAACTGTGTTAGAATTTTGATGGGGATCCCATTGCATCTGTGGATTGCTTTTGGTAAGATTGCCATTTTTACTATGTTAATCCTACCTATCCATGAGCATGGGAGATCTTTCCATCTTCTGCTATGTTCTTCAATTTCTTTTTTCAAAGTCTTGGAGTTCTTATCATACAGGTCTTTCATTTGCTTGGATAGAGTTACCCCCAAGATAGTCTACATTATTTGTGATTATTGTGAAGGTTGTTGTTTCCCTAATTTCTTTCTCAGCCTGTTTATTATTTGTATATAAAAGGACTACTGATTTTTTTAAGTTAATCTTGTATCCAGCCACATCATTAAAAGTGTTTATCAGCCATAAGAGTTCCCTGGTAGAATTTTTGAGGTCACTTCTGTATACAATTGTATCATCT